GGTGGTGGCTGGGTTTGTCTGGTCACACCTGTCCCCCTCCCACCTGCCTGCATGCAGAAGGTGCTCACTAAATGCTTGCTGATGGACTGCATAGCGCAAACCCTTTCCCCTCTGAGCTCCCGCCACACCACGCTGGCTCCTCCCTATCCCGTGCTCTGGGGGTGGGGGGTGGGGGTGGGGTAGCGCTGGTGGGTTAAAAGCCAGCAGCTGGCGGCCAACTGGGATGAAGACCAAGCTGTTGCATGGCTACTACCAGTCCTGTAAGTCCATCTCCCTGCTCCTCCCTCATTCAGCAAGGGATTGGGCTGGTGGGCTGGGGGATGCGATGGCTGGGCTGGGGCTTGCTGCTCACCCTGATTCCTTTCTTTGGTTAGGCCAGAGATGCCGAGGGTGGAGTCCGAAAGCTGGGGGAGATGGAAGAGAAAAAGGAAGAGAAAGAGGGGGCAGCAGGGCCGGTCTTGATGGCAGAAGGGGCTCTGAATCCCCCTGGGGCCCTGCTGTCCCAGAGGAGGAAGGCCCAGGAGGGGGGCCCCCAGGGGGTCAAGTTGGAGTTACACCCACTGCTGAACAGGTAAGGCAGGTTTTGTGGCCTTGCACCAGAGCTTCCTCTCTTGGCCCCAGTTCCTCATCCAAGAAAGGTCAGAACTGGCATAAGACTTGGGCCCTGTTGGCCCTTCTGGCCTTAACCCAACTGAGATTCTGGGTTAGATTCCCCCATCCTGCCCCAGCCTTTCAGGATAACTGACTCCAGTCACCCTGGGGGTGGGGGTGCTGTGCCCAAATCCTATCTCCTCATTTGTCCCTGAAGGGGCATGACTTCCCCGCCAGCACAGGTGCTGCTGGTAATGGGCCTGGGAGGGCTCTCTGCTTCCTCCTGGCCTCCCCTCCCCCCAGGTGGGCTTTGTGGTTTTTCAAGAATGACCGCAGCCGCGCCTGGCAGGATAACCTGCATCTCGTCACCAAGTTTGACACTGTGGAGGACTTCTGGGCGTAAGTGTCTGCTCCTCGCAGACAAGGCCAGAGCCAGGGAGTTCTGAGCTGGGGATCCTTCCCAGGCCCCACCCCTCCAAGGAGTTGTTTCCTACCTAGCTCTCCCCACTCTCCCTGGGACCTCTCAGCATTTGCTGAGGGCTGGGGCTTGGTGGGTTCTGCTTGGGGGTGGGGATCCTTGGGGCTGGTATATGGGCCCCCCTGAAACTTTCCTGAGGCTTTGGGAAAGCGCCTGGGAGGTGGGAGAAACCAGGAGTTGTCCCTGACTCTGCTGCTCCAAGGCTTTGTGGTCCTGGGCAAGTTCTTTTCCCTCTCTGAGCTTGTCTCTGCCATAAAAGAAGGATTAGGCTGCCTGATTGTGTCCATGGGTGATCAAGGGAAGGGTTCTGAAAGTTGCACCACAAACCCTAGTGGTGGTTGAGAGTCTGGGGCTCAGCTGGAGGGGTGCTTGGACCCCCCTCCCCACCCACCCCCAGCACTGGGACTCTCAAAGCCTCCCCAGGGGGTTTGGATGGTCAGGGAAGGCTCCAGGGAGAAGGTGGGATTTGAGGTTTTGGGTAAGTAGGGATGGAATTCCAGGCAGGGGCTGAGAGGGTGAGTGTGAACAATGTTTTGGAGGCCTGAAGGGTGGGTGGAAAACACTGGAGTCTGGTAAGAAGTTGGGGGAATGAGGCAAGTTGGAACCAGGCTGTAAAAAGTCTGGACTTAACAGCCTGGGTTGGGGGTGGGGGGCTCTCCAGGATGTACAGTCACATCCAACTGGCCAGTAAGCTCTCTTCCGGCTGTGACTACGCCCTCTTCAAGGTAAGCTCTGCCTCCCCACCCCCCACCCCCACCCCAACTCAGGCCACAAGAGAGCTGAGCCTCCTCAGCTTCTGCGATCCTCCCTCATGGAGAGCTTGCGGGGGCGGGGGTTGAAGGGGGGTTTGTCACAGACAGCCTTCCTCAGAGCCGAGATGTGACTTCCGTCCTGAGGAAATGCTACACAGAAGCTTGGACAGTGTCAGACTGGAGCTGTACTACCTTGTAGGACCTTTAAGAGTCTGGAAGGGGAGGGGGAAAGGGGGAACTCGGAAGGAGCCCGGGTTCCTGGCCTGGCTCCTTAACTAGGGTCGTGTGTCAGAATTCCCCGGGAACATTCCACATCTATGTCCAGGCCTTCATCACTGTTCATCTCTGGAGGTACTGACCCAGCAGGTGTGTGCGGTGGGGCCCTACCATCCGTGTTTAAAGACTGCCCCAGGTGATTTATGCCCAGCCTGGGATGTACACACTATGGTTGCCCCAGAGGCTTCCTTAATAATTACCCCCCCGCCCCCGGCTTGAACTCTTGCCTCAAGGAACTCAATTCAGTAAAGGAGACAAACATAACCGTACATCTATAAGGCTATAAAAGGTGACAAATGTTGAGGATCAGAGGTTTGGGGGAGCTCATGGGAGGGTCTGGGGGGCTGAGTGGCTGGTGGTGGAACTTGCTTGTTCAGAGGGGATGGAGGCAAGGGGGACCCTGGCCTATGGAGGCTTAGTTCGGGGCCAGAGCAGGGCCTGGGAAGGTGGCTGGGCACCCACTTCCCTTTGACCAAAGGGAGGCAGTTGATTTGTCATTCCACCTCTTAGGATGGCATTGAGCCCATGTGGGAAGATAGCAGGAATAAGAGGGGTGGCCGCTGGCTGGTCAGTCTCGCTAAGCAGCAGCGCCACAGTGAGCTGGACCGCCTGTGGCTGGAGACCGTGAGTGGGGGGGAGGGGGAGGAGGGGGGAAGGGGGGAGGGGACGGTCCCCCACTCGAAGAGACTGGTGTGGTGTTAGTGGTCTCCAGGATAGTGGGAGCACTCCCTGTGACTCAGGTAGAGGTCTCACCATCCTCCCGTTTTGGCCCCAGCTGCTGTGTCTGATCGGGGAGAGCTTTGAGGAGCACAGCAGGGAGGTGTGTGGGGCTGTCATCAACATCCGCACCAAGGGGGACAAGATCGCCGTGTGGACGAGGGAGGCAGAGAACCAGGCGGGCGTGCTGCACATCGGGTGAGGGGTAGCTCTGGCACAGGGTTTGTTCCAGGGGAAAAGGTGAGTGTATGTGCTAGGTGGTGGCTTGGCCTGTGAGGGAGGCGTCTGGAACTTTCTGTGTCATCTCCCCCTTCTTCCTTACCCACCTGTATGAGGGTTTGGAATCCAGATTTCAAGCTATTTCTAGCAGGTCTCTTCTTTTGCATTAAAGAGTCCTGTTTTGGGTTTCCACATAGGTAAGACCCACAAAGAGTCATGGTGGCTGGAACCAGGGTAGGAGCTCTAGGCAAAGGACCCAGGGTCCCAGGTTATCTCCAGTACCTGCAGGTGATTATCTCCTTTCCTCTCCTATTCATCCTCCAGGCAGGTCTACAAAGAGCGCCTGGGCCTCTCCACGAAGATCGTCATTGGGTACCAGGCCCATGCAGACACGGCCACCAAGAGCAACTCCCTAGCCAAGAATAAGTTTGTGGTGTGATGAGACCTTGGCACCACTCTCCATTCAACTGCCCCTGAGCCTTTCTCCCTGCTGTGTGTGTGTGTGGTGTGGTGGGTAAGGGGGTGCTGGGCTACGGTGCTGATGCTCGGCAGAACTGGTGGGTAGAGAATGGGGTTCTCCCATGTCCTGGAGTGAATATGAACATGTCCCTAGGCCTGAGTTGGGGCTCAGGACCGCTCTGTGGTCAGGGAAGCCAGCCTGAGGACCCAGGAAAGGTGGAGGAAAGCCCTGAGTGTCTTTGTTTCATCTGAGGATGGGTTAGGGTGAGTCACGGGGGAAGGGGGAAAGCAGAGCTCAACTAAAGTTGGAAATGACAAGAGAATCCTACAGTCCAGCACTTTCTGTGCACCCCTGGGACAGGCCCTGGGTGGCCTGAGGGTGACTCTTCTGTCAAGGCCACTGACACAGCTGGGGCTCAAGGACAGGGGGTAGGGGATGGGCTCTCTGTGATCACTCTACTTGGTGCCTACCCTGTATCTTGTACCTTCCCTCAACCAGATGTGGGTGGGTCCCTGGAGCGGGGCTGTACATCACAGGGGCTGGAGGCTTAGGGGCAGAACCCTATTATCTCACAGAGAGGCAAGTGTGTCCTCTTGCCCTTTCCTCAGCTGTGGCCAGGGGTGTGTGGGCCTTGCCTCAGGTCAGGCTGCAGTGGAGGTGGGTAGATAGATGAGGTCCTGGCCCAGGAGTGGAGGACAGCGGCCGTTAGGTCTCCTCATGGTTCTGCTTGAGGTGGATTAGCTGAAAGGTATGAAGTTTAAGCCTTTTTCTGTTCCTGTTCTAAATAAACACTTTTGAACAAAATTAGAATTATTTTTGAGAGTTCTAAAATTGAGTAAGATTTGAGCGCCCCCCCCCCAAAACCTTACACTCCGTCCGGCCTTGAGGGGGCTCACGCCCAATCAGGCCCAAGCTAGTACAGTGAGAGGGGTAATACGCAAGGGGACAGGTTTCCACGTCAGAAGGGTTAGAGCCAGGGGGTCGGGTATATGCCCCTGGCAATGCCGCAGTGTCAGGGAGGAGCAGGCGCGTCCCTCACGAGACCCAGCTGTCATCTGGCCTGAGTCTGAGCCAGTCTAGGTAGAGATGAATTTCCGTTGAGGGAAAAGCGCATCTGATTCGCCTGCACTTGTGTTAAAAACACCATCCCTATCGCCGTCCCCATCTGCTCATCAGATCGGCAGTTACTCCTCTCCAGGACTGGGCACCGACAGCGAGGCTGGGGCCTGGGGCGGCGCTGGTACCGAGCCTTGTAGGGTAGGAGTAACTGCGGGTGCTTCGTGGCCGCGACTTGCGGTGCCATCATCAGGCTTCTCAGGCAGGTCCGCAGGACCCTGGGAAGATGTAAGTGGCTGCCGGCGCTCGGGGCGGAGTCAGGCCTAGAGGCGGGGCTCCAGGGCGGGGGCGGGGCCTGCCTGGGAGCGGAGCCCGGAGGGCCTAGACTCAGGCCTAGAGGCGGGGCTCCGAGGGGACAGAGTAGGGCAGGGGCGGAGTCAGGCCTAGAGGCGGCGGGGCTCCGACCCGACTGCGCGGGCGGGGAGCTGGGCGGTCGGGTCGCCAGGGGCGGTCCCTGGGGGGCGGGCGGGGCCCGACCGGCGTTCTGTGTGGCCGCGGCCATGAAGCCGCAGCCGCCGGGCTAGGCCCCGGGCGGCTCTAGCCCAGGGCGGCCCGTGGAGGGCCGAGCCCGACCCCGGCTCCGGTTCCCGGGCCGGCGTGCGGCTGCTCACCATGCCGGGCAAGCACCAGCACTTCCAGGAACCCGAAGTCGGCTGCTGCGGGAAATACTTCCTGTTTGGCTTCAACATTGTCTTCTGGGTGAGAGCGGGGTGGGTTCCGGGCCCCGTGCTGGGGGTGGCGGGAGGAGGGTCGGTCCCCTACTTGCTGGGTGGGTGGGGGAACCACTCCCTGCCTTAAGGGCTTGCGACCATCACCTCCCCCCCCTTCTTCCCACTCTCACCTCCATTATACACTCCTAGGACCCACTCCTGGGAACTACGGGGAGGCCCGGATTGCTGGAGGCGGGCCCCAGGCGCCGCGGGGATAGGTTATGGAGGTGGAGTCTCCCCGTATCTTTCCAAGCCCGGGTGGAGAAAGGGGAGGTGTTTCCCTGAAGGTCCCAGGGACCTGTCTCCCGTCCAGCTCCTTTGCTACCCTGGAGTGTGGCGTGTGCGCTGAGCTCCGCCCCTGGTTTAGTCCACAGGGAGGAGTGTCTCCGTGAAGGGAAGGGCCGGAACCCCTTGCCTAGCCTTAAGCTCCTGCAAGGAGGGTAGGTCAACCTGCTCCATACCGAGAGCTTGCGGGCTGGGAGGGTCAATAGCTCTGGTTCTCTGCTGGGGAGAGGAGATCTCCCCTGTTGAGACGTCGTGAGCTGGCCCTGGGGGAACAGAATTCAACATTCCGCAGCTGACAAAACCGAGGCTTTCAGGGCGGTGCTGCCCCTGCCGGAGAAGGGAGCTGCTAGTGCCCCTTCCAGGGTGGCATGTGCCCCTGGGCCCTGCCAAGTCATCTTTCCCTTCTCCCTCCCCCATCCCATCTCTCTAAGGCTGCTTGCTGCCTCTGCAGTCTCTGTTCCTGCTGCCTTCAGTCAAAATACCAGGCCCATTCAGTTTGTTCAACAAGACTCTGGCACTGCCCTCTACCCATGTGCTAACCATGAAGTCACCCGTGTGTGGTGGGCCTTTTGGCTCCAGCAACGCGCAGCTCTCAAGGGTGTGGGCAATGTGCAGACAGTACTAGTGGGGATGTCTGGAGGCCTGGGTGTAGCAAGCCTAGCTTTGAGACTTCTCTCTGGGCCTTGGCCTCCTTTCCTGGGAGGGGTGATGATAAAGCCCACCCCTCAGGGTTGTTAGCCAGATTAAATGAATTCTAACTTGTATTCGCACAGCTACTTTGTTATTTATTATCTACATTTTATGGATGAGGGAATAGACACAGAGAGGTCAAGTCATTTAACCTAGAGTTACAAGGCCAGTAAGTGCAGAGCCAAGGTACATACCAGTGGGCAGTGGTTGGGGGTGAAGCAGAGCATTGAGCAGAGTGAATGGCTGGATGCCAAGGGGGCCAGGCAAGAGAAACTCAGGATTGTTCCAGGCACGCCCACTTTTGCATGGGAGTGGGGGTGGGGAGCCAGAGCAGGAAAGGCCCCAGGGGTGGGACAGTGTCGGGAGTTTTATGTTGAGAGCCCTGTGAAGCAGTGAGGGCTTCAGTGCTGGGTGGTGGGTCTGTTTTGGCTTTTGTACTGGAGGCAGATCTGTCTGCCTTTGCGGGGAGGGTGGGTGAGGGGCAGAGGGCTTGGAAGTTGGGAGACCAGGGAGGAGGGCTGGGGCAAAAATGGGGGGTGCGGAGTGGGAAGTGAGGAAGGCTCCAGGGGAAGTTATGAGGCTGAATTGACAGGACCCCACCACTTAGGGGGGCCACGAGGTTTCAGGTTTGGGTCCAGGTGGCCAGAGAGAGGTGCCTATCAAACAGGCCCAGAGATTTTTGTTTGTTTTAATGGAAAGTGGACCCTGGTGTTACCCTGCTGAGAACCTTCCAGCAATTAATACAGTCCAGACTCCACCAGTGGTCTCCAGTACCCTCTGGAGTCTGGCCCTTCTGCCCTTCAGTCTGTCCCTTGCACCACCATACTGGATCTTACCTCTGGGCTTCTGCCAGGCCCTCCACCTGAAATTTTCTTCTCCTAGATACACTTTTTCATCATTCAGAGCTCAGCTAAAATGTCCCTATTTTCCCTAACCAAAGCATGCCTACACCGACCCCAATCACTCCCCACCGCATCAGTCTGTTTGCTTTTCTTTAAAGGATCTGTTGGTATCTGAAATTACTTTTATTTGCTCACTATGGATTTCCCCCACGGGAGTGTAAACTCCTTGATGGCAGAGAGCTCATTTGTCCTATTTGCTGATGTATTCCTAGTGCATGGAACTGAGCCTGGGACATGGAGGTTTTTGCAGCAGGCAAGTGGACCTAGCCACTTGGAGCCAGGGAGAGGTTGGGGTGGAGGTCCGGGAGATGCCAGTGTCTGATGGTGTGGAAATAAGTATGGAATAGGAAGAAGGGCAGAAGGCTGAAGGTGACACGTGGTGGGGTTGGTGGCTATGTGCATAGGGAGGTGAAGCAGTGCATCCTGGGAGGGAGGCTGAGAAGGGGGTGGAGGGAGGAATGGTGTTGAGTTGACCACCGAGGGGTTCAGAAAGGAGAAAGTAGTGGTCAGTTGCCCATCTAAAGGCCATGGGTGGGTCAAGTGGGATGAGGCAGGAGAAGTGATGTTTGCTTTCACATCCCAGATCTAGTGGGGGGGGAGGGAGGGAAAGAGATTTTTAGAGAAGACTACTGCAGTGGGAGGAGCCTGGGGTCAGAGAGAGGAAGGCGTTAAAAGTGGGTGGTCTTGTGGTGGAATGGACTGGAATTGGTGGGGGGAAGGGAAGGAGCCTGTGAAAGCAGGTGGGTGGGGAAGGTGTGAAGAGGTGGGGTCATGGCCTTGTGCTGGGGCATGAGTGGCACTCTCTCTGTGAGACTGGATATCCAGAGACCTGCCCAGGCTCAGGCGTATGGCCTGGACATCCAGGACTCTTCCCAGTAAGGAACTGAGGCAGGACAGGTGGGTGGTGCTTAGAAGGTCCAGGCAGGAGAAAAAAAAAAAGGTCCAGGCAGAACTGTGGCCAGATGTTTTCAAGGGCAGAGCTACAGGCCCAGACAGGGGTCCCTCAACTGGATCCTGCTTACATCAGGATTCCTTGTCATTCAGGGGTCTTTGCTTGTGAGCTTTGAAAACAGAACAGAGTGGGGCGGCCGTCGCAGAGTTGCAGGGCACCAGGGTGGCCAGATTGGGAGGAGGCAGAAGGGAGGCTAGGATCCCGGAACGGAGAATAGGCTTGGTGGGAGGAGAGGCTCAGGACAGTGCTGTTGGTTCTGCTTGGCAGGGGTGTCCCAGCCACCCTCTGCTGCAGTACTGCGTCCTGGGAAGGGCTAGGGTGGGTTCAATCCTCCAGGCTGTGTTTTGTGGGGGAGAAGAACTGAAATGTGTTCTGGGGGAGGTAGAAAGGACGCTGGACCCCATTTATAGTCCATTCCCCCCCCCCCACTTTCCAGAGACCCTGACTGCTAGAGGGGGAGGGGCTCTCCTGGGGGTGGGGAAGGATGCTGACACTCCAACCCTTAGCTCTTTGCTGCTGCTTCTGCAGGTGCTGGGAGCCCTGTTCCTGGCCATTGGCCTCTGGGCCTGGGGTGAGAAGGTAAGGTGGTGGAGTCTGGTGTGGGGCTGCCGTAGGTTGAGGTGGTGGGAGGATCAGCCCGACCACTTGCCTCTGCTCCCCTGGCACAGGGCGTTCTCTCCAATATCTCGGCGCTCACAGATCTGGGAGGCCTCGACCCCGTGTGGCTGTTTGTAGTGGTTGGAGGCATCATGTCGGTGCTGGGCTTTGCCGGCTGCATCGGGGCCCTCCGGGAGAACACCTTCCTGCTCAAGTTTGTGAGTGCACCCCCACCTAGATCCACTGGGGACCCCTACCTCCTCCCACTGACTTCTTGCATATAGTTGGTACTTAATAATGGGTGGTTTTATTATCGTGTTATTGTAACAATAGTCATCAGAATTGTATTATCTATAGGATCCTTTCTGTTGTGACTGAAACCCAGTGGCCCAAGCATAAAAGGGTATTTATGGGCTTACTAAGGAAAGCCCAGGGGTATGCTGGGTGCCGGCACATTTGGATCTAGGGGCCACCACAGTGTCTGTCACTTGGCCTGGTCACTGTTTCTCTAGTCTGTCCTTCCAGTTGGCTCCATTCCCCATGGGGTGGAAGGATGCCCACGAACGGGTGGGGGCTAGCTTCACACTGCCCCTCCGGGAACTCCTAGGAGGCCAAGGCTCTCTCTGCCCAACCAGTGGGCCTGTCCTTTAATTGCATCTCCTTGGTTCAGATTGGCTGTCTCTGGACCAATCCCTGTGGCCCCGGGAGAGGTAGCGCTCCGATTGGTGGGCTCCCGGGCGCAGGCCCAGTCTTCTATCAGGAACGGGAAAGGAGGTGGAGATGGTTCTGTCTGAGCCACAGGAGCTGAACACGTATGCGGAGGGTGGTTTCTCAAAGAAAACAGGGTGGTTACCAGGGGAAGCGGAACGGATGGGTAGGTAAGAACCGCACTGTCCTTCACCGTCATCAAACAGTACTAATAGGAGAGAAGGTGGGGACTCTTGGCTATCTTGGGGTGGGGGTGGTGGGGGGGAGCGCTGCCCCGTGGCATCCCCAGGCCCTGCATCTCTGACGCCCACTGTCTGTGTGCCCCTACCCCAGTTCTCAGTGTTCCTCGGCCTCATCTTCTTCCTGGAGCTAGCAACAGGGATCCTGGCCTTCGTATTCAAGGACTGGATTCGAGACCAGCTCAATTTCTTCATCAATAACAACGTCAAGGCCTATCGGGACGACATTGACCTCCAGAACCTCATTGACTTTGCTCAGGAATATGTGAGTCCCGTGCCGGCCCGGGCCACCTGCATGAGGCGGCTGCTGGGCAGATGTGTGAGAGAGCAAGTTCCGTGTGTTCTGGGACCGTTCCCCTGCCCATGCCCCAGGGAAAAGAGCCAGAAGGCCCCCTGTCTGAGGCGAAGCCAGCTTCTGTGATCCCTGTAGGTCCCCACTGTGCCTAGTTCTGCAGGGACACAGTGTTGGGGAACAGAGCCCAGAGGCTCCAACCTGGCAGCTCCTAGGCCAGGGTTTTCAACACTTAAAAGAGAACATTTGATATAAAAATACAGATTTCCCCTTCTAAGAAACTCTGGACCCATAGTATTAGCTGGGGTTACATTGCCGCTGTCCCCTTGCTGGTATAGGAGTTCTCTGTTTGCCATCGTCTATGCCACTCTGTATTATATTTGTCGGCCCTTTTCTCTCGTTTATACTGTCTGTTTGGCCTCTGAACATATTTGAGTTTGAGACCTCCTCCTCCACAGAAGCTCTGCTCTTAAATCCTCCTCTACCTAACCCATGCGAAGAAGCAGTCAGTGAACAGTTCACGAGCTCCCAGACACCTCCCGCCTCACCTTCTCCGCTCACACCCACCTCCACAGTCCCACACCTTCAGCGCCACCCACCCCGAGTCTGTTCTGGGATCCAGAGATGAACCAGAGCTGGAACCTGCTTTGAGGAGGTCTCGACTCAGGGCAGAAGTGGACATATAGCCAGGCAGTTAGGATGTGATTGATTTGTTCATTTGAAACAGATTGGTGCAGACTTATTGTGTGCCAGGCCCTGGGCCAGTTCCTGGGAGTTCGTTCAGTGGTGACAAAAGCTGGGACCTGTCCTTTGGGGAATGGCAGTCTGGGGGCAGAGATAGATGATATGGAAAATGGACAACTGTATGTGCGTGTGTGTGTATAAATAATAAATCGTGCTACGAGCTGAAATGGGGAAGGGTGGAGAAGAGGAAGGCCTTGGAGAAGGAGCGGGGCTGTGGAAAGAGGGGCAGATGTTTCCCGGCAGGCGCAGCAGGTGCTGAGCAGAGCTAGAGGAGGACGGCAGAGGCCAGGCTGTTTGCTGGGACCCGTGCACACAGAGCCACATGGCCGTGCCCCGCCCCCTCGGCCCACGGCGGGGCCCTGTGTCTGCGCTCAGCAGGTCCCTTGAGGGCCAGCTTTCCGTGTCACATGGGTTAAGACCTGTGTTCCCGCGTGCCGCAGTTCGTGAGCTTGCTTCAGGGCAGCGTCACGCTCGCTATTCCCGTGCCTAGGGAGGCGGCGCCGGATGTGCTGGGTGGGGTGATGGGGATATGGGTGCTGCCAGCAGCATCGAAGAAGTGTGATGTGATTGCTGTGAGGGTGGCAGGGTTGCCTTCCTGTCCCTGCAGAGAGGACGAGAGAAGGTCTTCATAAAATCTCTGGGGCAAGTGTGGGGAGACCTGGCACAGACATGGGCTTCAGCGGTGCCTCTCCCCACAGGGCTTGGCCTCACACCCACTTCTGAGGGCACCCCTCCCAGGTTCCCCCTGATTCCGCCAACCTGGGCAGGAGCATAGTGATGCTCTGACGGCTCTGGGCTGAGGTCCAGCCTTTCTGCTGGGGGGCGGCGAGGAGGTGCCCACCTGCCTAGCTACCTCCAGACCCCCTCCCAGCCCAGCCCAGCCCTACCCTGTCTTCTGCAGCCTGGGCCTGTCTTGAAACTGGATGGGGCTCCTGGGGCGGGCCTGGCTCATCTGGGCTCTCCTTTCGCCCCTTAGTGGTCTTGCTGCGGAGCCCGAGGGCCTAATGACTGGAACCTCAATATCTATTTCAACTGCACTGACTTGAACCCGAGCCGGGAGCGCTGCGGGGTGCCCTTCTCCTGCTGCGTCAGGGACCCTGCGGTGAGTGGGGCCCGGTGAGGAGGGGCAGGGGCATCGCAGTGCACAGGCCAAGTGTGGGGAGAATCCAGCAGAGGGCTTGCTGGGCTCGGCCCTGCTCTGGGGGCCTTGGATGCTGGGGGGAGGTCATTTTATGTGGGAGTCCTCCTACTAGGCTGAGGACTTTATGTCCGTGGGCAGCAGTGGGGCCTGCCAGCATAGGGGCTGCACCGCTTCAGCAAAACCTGTCTCTTTGATTGTAGTGAGCCAGCTGCCACACCCCTGGGCCACCATTCTGGAGTGACAGGGCATGGGGGTTCTCACCCTTTTATGGCTTTCTTTAGAGCAGAAACTTCTCCCAGGGACATCTCTTCCATCACAGTTCACCTGGGACACTGAGGGCCACGACTCTTCCCATTCTTATAATACACGGGCAGGCAGGATTCCTAAGCAGGAGGCAGCTCAGGCTGGCGTTTGTGGCTGTGTGTCCTGGCGCCAGGGAAGGAGGTGCGTGGGCCTCAGTGAGCCTCACGTAGGAGTGGTGGGCGTGGCAGAGTCCATGGTTCCATCTGCTTCCCTTGAGAAGCCGGAACCTTTGCAGTGCTGGGTGCCTCGGGCCCCTTCACCAAGTCGCTCATTGGCCTGTTTTTTCTCAGGAAGATGTCCTCAACACCCAGTGTGGCTATGATGTCCGGCTCAAACTGGTGAGAGGGGTGGGGACAGAGTTCGGGGCACTGGGAAGGGAAGGGCAGCCTCTCATAAGCTCCTCTGAAAGGCCTCAGGGATTCTGTGGGGGAGGGGGTGCTGAGTCCTAGGAGCCATCCAGGCACCTGGGCCTTGGTACTACCGATCATGGGGGCAGTGGACCCGTGGGCACAGACACGTGTGTGTTTGCTCGTTTCAGTTCTTTGTCATTCACCCACTGGTGCTCACACCTGGCAGTGCCCTAGATGCTGGGGATTCATGCTCAGGAGATAGGCACTCCAGTAGAGGGGACAAAGACAGTAAGCTCACAGATAACCACATAGGAACAGTAATGTGACAATTTCAACCAGGAGCTTGGGAGAAAATAAAGTAAGGGAGCTGATGGGATTGGGGCTGGGTGGTCAGGGAAGGCCTCTTGGAGGAGGGGGCATCTGTTCTGAGACCCTGATGACTAGAAGGAGCCTGTCATGCAAAGGCCCCATGGCAGAGCTCCATCCAGGCAGCAGGTGCTAAGATGTCAGGCCCTGGGGCGGGGCTGAGCTTAGCAAGCTGGACTGAGAGGAGGCCTGTGGGGGTGGGTGGGCCAAGCCCCTTGCCTGTGTGTCCCCAGGAGCTGGAGCAGCAGGGCTCCATCCACACCAAAGGCTGTGTGGGCCAGTTTGAGAAGTGGCTGCAGGACAACCTGATCGTTGTGGCTGGGGTCTTTGTGGGCATCGCTCTCCTCCAGGTACTGCCTCAGCACAGCATGCCCCCGCACAGCCCCTCCCTTCCAGCAGACCTTCCCTCACTTTGCCCACTTTGTCTTACAGATCTTTGGTATCTGCCTGGCCCAGAACCTTGTGAGTGACATCAAGGCAGTGAAGGCCAACTGGTGAGGCTGCCACACTGGCCAAGGCCACCTGCCTGGCCTACCCAGGGACCCCCCCCCCTTCCCCGGCCACTGTACCCGGGATGGGCAAGGCTGCAGGTGTTTCTGTTTGGACCTGAGCTCCATAAGGGGCTTGAGTGTGGGTGTGCCTCTGCCCGGGCTGCCTGTCCTGGAGCCGTGTGCATGGAGGGCGGGTATGTCTCTGTGAGTGTGCACAGGGGGCCACCATCTTGGCTGCTGTCGGGTGGTGGGATCTCCAGGGGCCTAGGAATGGTACTTCTAAGAGGGTGCTGGCCAGGTGGGGTGGGAGGGGTCTGCCATGTCCCTGCCCAGGCTGGGACACACTTCTCTGTGCATGGCTATTAGGGCAGGCTTGGGGCCTGCTGTTGCCTGGGACACAGCCTCACACAGCTTTAGAGCTGTCTTCGCAACTAGCTGGGACCTTGACCCTGCCAGAAGCCCCCTTTGGCCTTAATGTCTCGGAGTTTAAAACGGGTCCAAGAATTTTCTCTCCCTTGCTTGCCTCTCAGGATCAAACATGATGATGGCTACAAACTACTCAAATAAACAAAACCTTGAAAACTACTGGCTTACGCCCACCATCTCAGAGGTTCTGTCGGCTGCAGGGCCTCAGCAGTGCTGTCTGCCTGGGGCCCTGGCCTGGACCCACCCTGCCAACGTGTTTTCTTGGCCTGGATAGTGTATACATTGAGCCAACCTTTAAAACTTGGTATATTTCACGTTAAAGTCCAGACCCCCAGCATCTTGTGAAGAATGGCCATCTGGCCACAGCGGCTCTTCGGTGGCATCGGCTCCTGGGACGTGTGCTTCCCGTTCTCTGAGGGACCCACCTGGCCTGTTCTGCTCACATAAGTGCCCTGCCTGCCTGACCCTGTACGCTGGGAATTGGCCTCCTCCACCTCTGCAAGGTTTTCCCCTGCAAATGCTGCCAGGCTGCTGTGGGCCAAACCTGGATTGAAGCCTGGGAGAGTGAAGAATGGGGAGGCTGGAGCCTGCCCAGAAGAGGCCACAGCCTGGAAGGGTCTGGTCCTCCTGGGGGCTAAGATGGGTGCAAGCGTGCCCAGGAAAGTGGCTGATGGTTGGGATGGAGATCAGGAAGGTTTTGGGCAAGAGGAAGCTGGAAGCCTGAGCTTCGCAGCCGTGGGGGAACTGGGTTTGGGGGCCATTGATAGTTGACTCTTAGGCTCACTTGGAATCTAGTTCAGTCTTACCGGTGGCCTGGAGAGTTGCCTCCTGGCCACTAGAGGGCGCGCCAGCACAGCTTTACCTGGACCTGGTTTTCCTAGGGCAACCCCACCCAGGTACAGCCCTGTGCCTGGTGTGTCCACCCTGCTTACTGGTTCTTTGGGTTTCAGGGAGTTTACAGACTTCTAAAGGAGCAAACTGGCTCAGATTTGGGAAGTCTGGCTACTGTTCTCAGATCTGCACAAAGGGGTATGTGTGGAGTGACCATTTGTGGATGAAAGGAGAGGTTTGGGCTAGTGCACAGATCGCCAACTTAGATGCCCTCAGGGCCAGGTGGGTTATAAAAATAAAGTAGGCCTTTGAGGTGTGAGGCCTTTGCAGTACGACTCTAATTTTTCCCACTATTCCTGGAGATGGGATATGGAGAGACATTGCTTTGTGATATTTTGCATGATTGAGTCTGAGTTGCTAATGGCAACTGGCCTTGAGTGACGATAAGATGTGGTGGGGACTGTGGCAAAGCACAGATTCCCACCTGAAATTGGTGGCTGTCCTTCAGTTGTAGCTAATTGCCGTAGAGCAGGAATGTAGGTAGGTCTAACGTGAGAAATCTGGAGAAGCCAAAAAGTTAGATTTTTATGTGAAGTATTCTGATTTTTTAGTTGTTGGCAACTAACAAAAAAAATCTTAAACCCTGCTAATCGAACAAAAGGTGTGGGGGCCAGTTGTGGCCCCCCCCCGCCACCGTAGATCCCTCTGGAACAGTCCCCCATGGGGGCCCTGGGGACTCCACCATTCAGGAATGCTGGGAGCTGCTGCAGGTAGGCAGGGTGGGGGGCAGGCGCCCAGCATCGTGGCTCCCAGGTGCAGCCTGGGCGGTGTCCTCGGGTCTCTGAAAGACACAGGCTGGGGGTGGTCTCTACATGCTACAATAAATGCGGCTCACAATATTGTGCACGTACGTGTCTTGTGGTTTCTGACTGTAAATGCTTTCACCTTTCATTTTCCCTCAAACCTCACAACCTTGTGGAGAGTCTTCCCAATGAGGAAACCAGCTCAGGGGAAGGAGTTGCCCAGAGTGCACAGTCGGGAGGGGGCCCCCCGATCTGACCCCTCTTGCTGTCTTGCACCAATCCTGCCCTTCTGCGGCATCAAGGTGGAACCTGCACACTTGAAGTGCCAGCTCATGAGGGGCAGGAACCTGTCCTAGCCCAGGTGTCCGAAAACCTGCTTAGGTGTGCGGAAGTAGAGGAAAGTTCAAGTTCCTGGCCCTTGTGCTGCATTCCTGTGCAGAAGATGCAAAAATAGGCAGGCACAGAAGCATTTGTGTTAGTAGTATATGCTGTGAAGAAAGTAAGAGGGAGGGCTAGACCGTGACAGTTGGGGTGCCTGGGAGAAGGGACCCCTTGGGGTGTTAGGAGGGGCTGCCATCTCTGGGAAGCTCCAGGGGAACAGTGTTCTCTAGGTTTGGGTCCCAGTTGCCCTGGAGGCCCTGCCACTGGCATGGATTTGTCATGAAGGAACTTGGGATGCTGAGGAGGTGGGAGTGGGTGAGCGTGAGGCAGAGGGAAGTGAGAGAACCAGAATATATTTGGCGATGGGGTAGGTATGACTGGTAGCAGTGGTTGTGACCCTGGCTAGGGACCCAGGATTCTCCAAAGCTCAGTTCTGCTATGGGATATCCATCTGTCCATCTTCCATTCACTCAGCCATCCATCCACCCACTCATCCATCCACCTGTGCATCCATCCATCTGTCCATCCGTCCACCCACACATCCACCCACCCACCCACCCACCCATCCATCCATCCATCCATCCATCCATCCACTCCTCCCCATCCACCATCAACCACTCAGGTGGTTGTATGGCCTGAAAGCCTAAAATATTTACTATTTGGCCCTTTGCAGACAAACACCGCTGACCCCTGGTCTGGTCTGTGAGCACCACAGGGGTGGGGGATTTCTTTTTGTTCCTTATGTATCCTTATACTACAGTGTCTGACACATAATAGGTGTTCAGTGAATCTGGTTGAATGAGTGAAGTGTATGTGTTGGAGCCTATCGCCTGGACCTCCTAGAGAAAGTGACCCCCGTTCCCACCATCTGCGGGGGCTGGATGCTGGGGTTACTGAGGCAGCTCAAACTTGCCCTTGTCCTGGAGCCCACAGTCTCTTGGCAGAGGCAGTTGGAACAGTTGCTAGTGGTGTAATGTGTATATCATGACAAGCACATGATGATCACTGCTAGGTGGCATTTCATGCTGGTTAGAGACATTTCCTGTCCCCAGAGTGGAACCCAGAGCAGTTCTTTCCTTTGTGCTGAGGAGTCCTTATCCAGAAGGGGATCTCTCCAGATGTGTAGAAAATACAAGGAAGCTTATAAGGCCACCCTGTACCCATCCCTCTAGGTGGGTCCCTAGGCCATGGGGACAGAGGTCACCCCACCCTCAGGGAGGAGCGCACATGAGTGATGACAGAGGTGGCCATTGTCTGGCAGCCTGGGAGCCTCCCATGGCCCTGGGCCTGCATAGTCTAACCAGAGGAGAGAGGCTGGCATCAGCTTGGAGGGAGGGCGTCCATGTGACATCAGGCTACTCCAGATGGGGAACTGGAAAGGAAAGAGAGATCCTGGCCTGGTGAGCCCTTGGATCTCTGGGTGAGGAGGTCAGACGGGCTCAGGAGGCTGGGGTAGGATTTCCTTCAGAAGATGGCCAGTGAGGTTAAGGTGGTGCCCACCTTGGAGGGAGCCGCTCCCGGTGATCACCAGAGGGCACCAAAGCACAGCTCATGCAGTGTGGCCGACTCAGCTGCGAACAGGGAGAGGCTGCGGGTGTGGCCAACATTGGGTGGGTGGGTTGGGGGGAAGCCCCTGGGGCTGAGCAAAGCCATAGCCACGGTTCCACAGACCTGGGGGTCCACCCTGTTGGTGCCAAATCCAGGCCTTTCCACCCCATGGCCTCTCTTCTGCAAGGACTCAGAGCCAACAACACTGCCTGAACCCCCCTTCAGGCCCCTGCAGATGGTGGGAACGGGGGTCACTTTCTCTAGGAGGTCCAGGCGATAGGCTCCAACACATACACTTCACTCATTCAACCAGATTCACTGAACACCTATTATGTGTCAGACACTGTAGTATAAGGATACATAAGGAACAAAAAGAAATCCCCCACCCCTGTGGTGCTCACAGACCAGACCAGGGGTCAGCGGTGTTTGTCTGCAAAGGGCCAAATAGTAAATATTTTAGGCTTTCAGGCCATACAACCACTGAACTCTGCTTTATGGCAGAAAGGAACTCTTGACAAGACAAACAAATGGGCATGGCAGTGTTCTAATAAAATTTCCTGGACACTGAAATTTGAATTTCATGTAACTCCCATGTGTCACAAAATACCCCTCTTTTGATGATCAACCATTAAAAAACATGAAACCATTCTTAGCTCTGGAGCTATATGGAAACAGGCAGTGGGCAGGACTCTGCTCCTGGGCTGGAGCTGCTGACCAGCCAAGGAAGGAAGAAAATGCCACCCAGTGAGCATCATAATGAGTCACTCAGCTGGGGAAGGGTGAGTGCTATGGGAATGTTAGCGAGAGCAGGGGGCCTTGGGGGTGTGCGGGGTGGGAGCCGCCCTGCGTATTAAATGGGATGGTCAGTGAGTGGTGTTGCTTTCTATGAAAAAGCGACATGGAACAAAGTCTTTAATTTTAATTATTTTATTTTATTTTTTTAAAGATTTATTTATTTTAGAGAGAGAGAAGAGAGTGAGGGGGGCAGAGGGAGAGGGGGAGAGAGAATCTCCTGCTGAGCCCAGAGCCCGATGCAGGGCTTGATACCACGACCCTGAGATCATGACCTGAGCCAATGCTCAACCGACTGAACTAGCCAGGTGCCCCTAATTTTAATTTTAAATTATTTTGGTAGCACAGGTAAAATAGGAACCCAATCTCCTTAAAAAATGGATGAAACTAAAGTCCCCTAACTGTCCCATTTTACTCCCCTCTCCTGCCTTCCTCCCGTGTCATCACGGCTGTGAGCCGTAGATCCTTCCAGACATTTTATATTTTTAAAATTTTGCACTCATTTGCGTACACACAGAAGATGTTGGCTATCATTGTGTGTGTGTTCGAAGTGGCAGGATACTGGCCCCGTCTTGCTGTAGCTTGCTTTCCCAGACGCCACAATGTGTTTTGATGACCTAGTCATGTCTGTGCGTGTAGAGCTGCTTTGTTTCTCGTGACTGTAGGGGTGTTTCCCCGAGCGACTGCTGGGGTGTTTCCCTGCAGGGACAAGCCATATTTCGCCTCTCTGTCCCTTGCTTGATGGATGGTGGAGAGTCGAGCTGTTCCCACTTGGGCTCCACTCCAAGGCTCTGGAAAGAGGCACAGCCAAGCCCTCTCTCCTGGGGTTCAGATTGAAGCAGCACCGGCTTCATTGGACAAGAGGGTGAGTGCTACAGAGAAGGGTGGCCCCAAGTCGGGGCTGATGGCAGAATTGGTCCCGGCAGGTCCCTTCCTGGGCCTGGGGCCTCATTTCTGCTCTTCAGCCCGAGCATTGGCCTGATAGGGAGCCTTACTGCCTCCTGGTAAGAAGGGGTTACGCAGACAGATGGGGACATCGGTAACCTGTATACAGAGAGGCCTCTGCTGTGGCCCGAAGGTCTAGTCCTTGGCAGAGGCTTAGACCCCTGGGGGCCCGGACACACCTGGTCAACTGAGTCCTGCTTCCAGGAATGATCCTCTGGAAATTAGCTCTCAAGCCTGCCTCCTGTTCAGGCCAGACCGTCCCCAGGCTGCTCCAGCACGCACCTGCCCCCATCTGTGGGAGTCTCCTGGGAATCATGCCTGGGGAGAGGGGGTTCCGGGCAGAGGCGCCACGTGGAATTCCAGGTGGCTTGCCTGCCAGCCAACATTTGCCAAGTATCTGTGTGTGCCAGGCCATGCTGGGTG